TAACAATAGCTTACATTAACTTGTGTAGTAGTTAAACAACGGTTAAACTAGTTAATTTTCTGTCATGATCAGTTATTCAGTGCTAGAGAAGCTTTATACTTACTTCAGTACAAGTCTGGCTACTCTATTCACATTTGGTCAAGAGGCAAACAAACAGAAGTAACAACAGTTTACATTAGCTTGCGGTTAGCTTACCTGGGTCTGCTAACCTTCTCTGAAGACGTCTCCTCAGTGTTTTTATCGGGACCTCGTAGCCAAGCCACTTTTCTGGTACCGGGTGGTCCTCTGTAGGTCTTTTGTCCACGAAATAAAAAGAGCAAACATATGGTAGTTTCGGTGGTTTCTTCTAATTTAAAGCTTTTAACCACTGGTGATGGGTTTCATCATTCTTTGGCGGAGGATGAGGGTCATAGGGCGCGTCACATCCACATTCAGCTCCCGTACGTGGTTTATGAATAAAAAATTCCTGCTCCAGGTAATTATTTCTTTTGTACCAGTTATTATGACACCCTCTAACTGCACAAACAATCCCAGTCTTCCTCGAAGTCATAACAATGAGACTGTTGTTACGAAGACAAAATAGTTAGCAAGTCAGTGACCGGAAGTCTCGCACAAAAAAACGGAAATTGACTGTGTCCATATCTGTTCTAAATATGGATGTTTATCTAATAAACATCCATATTTAGAAGCCCTATTGGAAGCTAAACGGCACAACCATGTCACCGCCATATTGGAGGTGGCAGAGAGGAGAAAGCAAAATGCCTCGTAGTTGTACGGCTTGGAAATATTGTAACACTTTAGATATCAAAAAAAAAATAAGACGGAATTACCGGAAAAACATGTAAGGCTTAACACTTACTATAGATTGTATTTAAGCCATAGTCTGCACGATTTTCACCATTTTAACATTGTTTTGGGAGAGTAAACTTGTCAACAAAAATACTATGGTTTATGGTTTCCTGCTCACAATGCATTGCTATGGCATTTACTTTAGACTGCACACGGTATTAGATGAAAATTATATATATATGTGTGTTTTGTAGTCCTGTAAGAAGTTTTAATGCATTGTTTTTGGTACCTGTTTTTCACAAATTGTGTGTTTGAATAAATGATGGTGCCATATTCAATCTCTGTTAAAATGTGCTTTCTGAAACAAAGTCCATTCATTTGTAGTAGTTCACAGTGCAGCGGTGCTACCTCCAATATGGCGGACACACGGCCTCGTCACAGCAGCGGACCGAAACAGTCAACGAGGCTTCTACGTATTCATTGCTATGGTTTACACGACACATTTTTATTCCGAACGGCTGTTTAATCCGATTACTTTTGTCCATGTAAACGTAGTAGCTGGGATAATTTTCTTATTAAAGCTCATAATCTTACCACTTGAAACATCACTAGCCCTGAAGCTGCTGGTAGACATCGCAGTTGGAAATATCAAAGATTTTTGACACCTGAGAGACACCGTAGCAACTCCTTTGCATTTGGAAGTGGGGGGTGGGGGTGGGGGGAGGACCTTGGGAGGATGATTC